AATTAAATTTATTATTTTTGAATTAATTTTTAATGATGTTTACAGTTTCTTAAACAACAAAATATTAAATTAAGCATAATAATCTATAGCACTAAACAAAGTTCTGCTCGAATATTAAATTTAAAAAAGTCTGCTCATTGTTAAATCTACTAGAAACATTCAAGGCTTCACTGCAACACACGTACAATTTCCATATGTCCATTAAAAGCATAATAAAATTGCATTCGTCTTTTATATGAATATCAGATTATCGATGTAAAGATTTAAATAGAGTCTGATATAAAATATTCAGATGCGTAATGTAATTAATTGTTACGATTCTAACAATTCAAATAGAAAAAAGAAGTTACGGATTTGAAACAAAAATTCGTGAACTTTTTACCTAAATTCGAACGTTTTTATTTCAAAAGAAAAAAACATTTTTCTAGAAATATTTATAATGTAGATAACATTTTACGGTCTGATAGTAATTAAAACTAATTAATGCAATTTCATCCATCTTTTATTTATCTAGAATTAAAAAAGTAAGACCTTTCTACCAATCACCGTTACTTGAAAAATCATCATCTTCAGTATCTCAGACACAAGATTGGGTCGATGACCGATTTGAGATGTTCGTCAAGGGAGGGGTCATTGGCCTACAAGACGACACCGCGTGTTGGAATGTCGGTACGGTCACGTGGACAATCAAAAGCCGGTCCCGGAACCAGCAGGACCACCTGACGTGGATGTGTCCATAGCACGTGATTGTTCGAGACCTTTGTTGACTTCGTCGGCAAGACGAACATTCATTCATCTTTGTATGATCTCATAGTAAAAACCCATTTTAAGACAACACAAATAGCTTATTTCTAAATTTATTAGAAGAGAGAGAAATGTTTCTTCAAAACAATTTGCTTTGGCCTTATCATATATTCGAGTCACAAACAAATATAATTTATTCTCTTTAGATTCGTCACTTCAAAACAAATTTTAAATCGAGCCGCCTTCATTAGAAAACCAAATAAGTAGGCAGGTATATAAACACTTTTTTTCCCTCTAGATTTAAATACGTTTTATGATAGATCCAGAAATGTTTGATTCATCCATATTAAACAGAAATGATTTCGGAACTATTGGCTTCTTCAAAGCATTGACAGTTAAAACGAAATGACAAGAACTTGTTTGTATTATCGCTTACGATATCAAACCATCAAGTTTTCTGCAGGACAAGATCCGGAACGACGATCGTTTATGCACGCGAACTGCACGGGGGAGCAACTCAGAACGATCAGTTGAATGTTTTAGAGCCCAGTCTTGCTTGTTTTTCTATCGACTATCGATATAAAGGCTCGAGCAATTGCCAATCTCATCTCGAAAAACAATCATTTAAATCTTTCTCGTCTCTCATATTTTTCACTGACTAAGAGCAACTTGATCAAACTATACTTTTATACTAAATGAATACAATTATCAGACTTAAATGACAGCTGGAACCTTCCTTCTAATGTTTACAAAAAATAAATCTTACTTTCAGAGTTTACTACTTCCTTTGAAACAATTTAAACATTGTTTCTAATTTCTCGATTAAAAAAAAAAAAACTCAAATCTTGCTTCCAGTTTACTCCCTAAATCTTGTTTTACTCCCTAACACAGCTCTAATCTCTTAAAATTCTCACGATAGCTTAAGACGACAAAGCTTTTATTGGAGGGGAGAAATTGCTAAAAACTTTGCATTAAAAAGAATTTATTTCGAAGAAAATTGCTTAAATTTTTTAATCAATAATGACCAAAATTCAATTCTATACAAAATAACTTAGAAATTTTCCACAATATAAGCAAAACATTCCATTACACTAAATTATTTAACGATTCCGAATGCTTTTAATATAAGAAAAATTTATTTAATTAAAAATTCATCAAAAATGATAAAAATCAAGTTAGAATTCATCAAAACATATCCTTAAATATTAAATTTCCTGAACCACAGTAGAAAAATGCGATCCGGAATTATAAAGATGTAAAAAGAAAATATACAAGGGGGGGGAGTGATTATCAGTTCCTACATGCAAATTCTTGTTACCGTATACTTATGCAAATGAGATATTGTCTTGTTCGAAACGTAAGTAAAAAAGCATAGAAAACAATTGTGTGAATCTTCCTATTTAAAAAAATAATAAATAGTTTTAGATAATAGTAATTTAAATATTAGAATAATCAACTAAAAATATAAAAATAAATTAGTTTTTCGGCTTTGAAATACATCTCAGGTGTATTCGTTTTTGCTAAACATTGTACACTTTTTACGTCAAATTTACGTCAATATTATACTTTTTCGTAAGAAAACTGCAAGAATAACGTAAAATTAACGTAATAGTTTACATACATTATTGGAACAAAAGTTCAAAAAATCTTATCGTGATTATCTCGTTACTGTGCTTTACCATTAAAACTTTATAGTATTAAAAACATTGTGTTATAATTAATAATTATTTTCGGAAGTAGTAAAAAGGAAAAAAAAAAAAACAAATATATATTGAATTTTTCTACAGACCATTAGAATACCAAGGACACGATATAAAATTCTAGCTAAACGACCTTCTGAATAAATGATCGATACGCGATAGATAAAAATCGCAGGGAAATCCCTATTGAGAAAAATTGCTTTATTTTCACTTGTATAATTTCTTATGAGCGTAAATATTCCCTGTATTTTTATATAAATAAAGTTTTCCATGGTTGTAATCATGTGTAACGCACATTAGTTAGAAAATAATAATGATTAAATCTCTTCTTAGAAAGTAAAAAGAATAAAATGACCCAACTACATCCGCTATTTAAAACATTGGCTTATGAAGTAAAATAGCTTTAAAAATAAACTTTTAAATCTTTTCACGTAATTAAGAAGATTAATTACATTTTATGGAATTTGGGAGATTTTAGAAAATTCTCTTACAGTTTTTAAGGTTTTAAACATGACTTTGCCTTAAATTAGTCTATGTTTGAAGCTAATTTTACTATTAAGGAAAAATTATTTTCCTTGAATAGCATTGTGATATTTAATTTACAGGAATCAGCAATTCATTTAATACTTAAAAATATACATTTTTTAGAATTATTTTATATTCCGCATTTTAAAATAGAATTATCAAATTTCAACACTTAAATATGAAGAAAATTGAATAATATTCCAATATTTAATAAGAAGAAATCGCTGGATTTCAATACATTTAGCATTAATTTCTACCTTTTTAATGGTAGAAATTAATGCTAAACGTCAAAAATTTATTTTCTGCATTCTAAATATAGAAATTAGCAATACAGGAAATTTCAACAATTGAAAAATGAATAAATAAATTTAATGTAAAGAAGTCGCCTTCCCAATATTAAAGAATATAAATTTTTAATTAATTCATATTAATTGTATCAAATTCCAATATTCATAATAGAAATAATGAAAAAAATATCTAAATTGTTTTATTAAAGATATATAAACATTTAATGCTTTGTATCCTCAAAAAAAGACAATACGACGATAGAGTGTTTTAAACTTTGCTAGATAATGCAGACGTTATGTCACGATTTGAACATTGGTATCACATTGAATAAGTGCTTTGAAAAGGGATGAAAGGAAAATATTCTTAGAATCTTACGTGCAGAAACACGAAAAAGCTATGCTGTAAAAAAACGTCGGGTCACTCGACTCTAAACCCCTTTCTTAATTCACTAAACAACAACATAATTGAGTGTTGTTAAAGGAATAGTTCTCTTGATCTTTCGACTTCAAGAATTCAGGAACAAAATGTTAGACTTTATAATTAAAATATTAATAATTTATATCAATAATAATAGATTAAATTCATTATCGAAAGTGATTTTTATAGAAAAATTTTCGCATGATTTAAGTTAAATTTTTGTAACGTTTTAGGCTGTTTAGCGTGTTTTAAAATTACTTTTGGTAAATATATTTTATTATGTAATAAGACTAATATAAAAAATGCTAAATTTTCGTGTGAACTCGCCTCTTCTCTTTTGCTCTTTGCCATTATTCTGTTATAAAATCGACATTCTTTGTTTGAAGGAACCAAGTTGAGCATCCTTCTTTCCATTTTCTTAATGATTTATTTAGACACGACACGCATGTTTAGGTCGTCTGCATCTCACGATTTTATGCTGTACACGTGTGGACCTTGGATCCAGAACTGTTGCTCGACAACGAACGTTCAACTTTTTAACATGTAACATTTTTGACAGATTTAAAATCATTACTAAGCTGGTTACAAACTGCGTGAACGACAAGGTATTCGACATTACCTTCAAAGTTTCTGATATCTAATGCAAAGTTTGAACTAGTAAACCCGATTAATGAGAAATGGGCGCTCTCTAGCATGTTGAGACGGCAAAAAAGTCGAAAATATTTTAGTAACGAGTATCTGGTGTTGCGGTTTCTCTATTGAACATGCAAGCTTACCTATCATACATGACGAGCGATCTAAAAAGATTCAACCTGTTCCAATGGTGTGTGTGTGTGTGTGTGTGTGTGTGTGTGGATTATTTAATAAAAAAAGTCTTTATAAAAAAAAAGATCTTGAAGTTTTTATAAAATACGATGTGATGATTTAGATCGGAACTTCAGAATAAATCACGACTAAACATTTTATAGTTTTCGTAGCGTTCTTTAGTGTTTCATTATAACTCTTCAAAACGATAAATGTTAACAAAATCAATACACAAACAAGTGAAATAGGTAGTGAAGTATTTAACATCGTCAAGTCCCTAGTAAGGCCCCTCATGGCAGAGGTTGAGTAGATAGAAACCATGATTTTTCTAGACATTAGAAAATTAAGTAGCGCAGCAGACACTGATTTCAGATTGTTATTATTTATAAATCAAGCTCTACTATAATTAATTAAATACTGATTTATAAGTGAAGCGAGCATAAATTATGTATATAGTTTTAGTTACACTAAATAAAAATTAAGTTACAGTTTTATATATTAAGACGTACTAAATTTTCCTACCTGTCCATCATCTAAAGTTGGAAGACCACCCGGTGTATGTAAACTGATTAAGTCCTGTTCAGAGATCATATGAGGACCATGCATCAAAACGTCCGGACGTCTGACATTACTGTATGCAGCATCCACTCGCCTTCCAGCATCGACATAAGTTCCCGAAAGTCCAGGATGCATGCTTGTTGGAATGTGAAGTGGATCATCGTCTCTTCTGTTAGCAAGGCCATGGCCTCTTTGAGGTGGATGAAGCTGTTGATATTGTTGTTGATGTTGCGCTGCCGCTAGTGGATTCAGATGTGTATATGGATCTGCATTTACATGAGGATGGTGAAATTCTAACTGCTGTTGTGGGATATTATATGGCGGAGGATAGTAGGGTGGTTGGAAGTCGGCTGATGTTGGTGTATGAGTTAATCTAGGAGTTGTGTTGAATGATGTTGCACTACCACCCACTGTACCGATGCTGGTTATAGGACCAAGAGCCGCTGCTGCTGCAGCGTGACTTCCCACCAGATCTCTACGCTCCTGTAATATAAAAATTAAATTTATTTTTTATGTAGTAACAGGACAAAAAAGCGTAAAATATTGCATTCTCAAATAAGGACTAGATAAGTTAACATCTAAATTAAAAAATATATAAACCAATACATAAAGATTTTTTTAAGTGTATCAGTGAATGAACCACTTCGTTTTCCGCTATGTAGTCAACACACCAAACAAATGACAGTTGGACAACGTGTTCATCGATGTGGAACCTACCTTCACTACTTTTTTATTTTTTATTTTTTTGCGATATATCTGCGCCAATTTTTGGACGAATTTAGAGTATAAAATTTCACAAATTATAGTAATTTTTATAATTGTCGGCAGCATAAGGAAACCAATACTAATACGGTAACAAATAATCAGATCAGAACAAAAATGTAGATTTATGATCGATAAAGTTATGATTATGTTATTAATTGAGGTTACGAAGCATAACTGAGAGAAGATAGAACTTTAGATACAACATTAACATCTTAATGAGATTTTAATCTAAAAAGTTTAATGAGATTATAATATTTTGCATTATAATGAGATTATAACATCCTTATGCAGCAATTGTTTTAAAAACTAAATTTAAATTTTACACATTTATCACGTTTAAATCATTTTTCTTGTTAAAAAATATAATTTGCATGTTTATGCTTCTATATGATATAATTCTTTGCATTTAAATTTCGTAAAAAATTTGGCAACAATTTTAAATTTATCACTTAAACCTAAGGAATAATTTATTATTCCAGTTATTAAATATTTCAGTTATTAAAACATATTTGTTACTCAGTTCTATACAAAGTTTATGAAGAAAAATAGTTTAAATCGATAAATTCTTTCATTGTATGTTATTAAAAAATGATAAATCTACGATGTGACAGAAGCAACCAATACAAACTCATGTTTTTCCCCCTATACAATCTTCCAGAATAACGCATAGGGATTTTCCCCTATGGAGGGGAAACGATCTAACTCTTCATTCATTTTTACAAGCTTACGCAGTCATAGAGGTCATTCGACTAGAGGTAAATTTCTGAGAAATACATAATTGTAGATACAGCACTGTGATCAGCAGAATTTTATAGAACCATCTGAGTAAGCTTAATTGAAATTGTCAAAATTGCTTATATGAAGTCATTCAAATTTTCTATATAAATAATTAATAAAATATTGTTTTTAAGTAAAGACAACAGGAAATAATATACAGATATTTTATCAGTACTATTGAATCTTTATTAATTAAGAGCGTACTCTTCACAGGTATCAAAATTTAAAATAAACAAATGTTTAACAGACATATATGTATTCAATTTAAAATTTAGTAATATAAATTTTACAATTTCCTCTTCCAATCATATATATGACTGGAATGGAAGAGCTTTAATGTTTACAAGCATTATAATCTTATTATATATATATAAACATATAAAATTAATCTCGGTTGTTTAGATTTCATAACGTGATTCTCCACCCTTAATTTTCCTAGTAAATAGTGCTTAAAAATTGCGAATATACATTCATCCTACTTAAACAGTATTTAGAAAACTATAAAAATATTGCTTTAAATATAAAAAACTGAATAAAAACTTAATTTGAAAAACATTAACTTCAAGTTATTTTACATAAATCATCCTAAATATTATTTTTAAAACTTAGTGGAGGAGTGACTAAGTTACAAACTTGTTTCTTAAATTAAAAGTTACATATAACTTTTAATGTTTGATTTAAAATATTTGATGTTTACTACTATTTCTATAACATTAAAAATTTGCATCAATCTTCTTTACTAAGCAACTAAGATTTGTTACATAATTCTCTCTGGTAAATTTAATACATAATTTATAAATTTTCCCATTTTTCAACGAAGAAAGATTACTTCTTTTATTATTATACTAGAATAAAATTACTTTTTCTGAATAAATTAAGTGGGGAAAAAATTTATTAAATTTTATTTAAGCAATAAATCTCCAGTATAAATAAAGAAATGTATATATAATATAGCTTGAAGAAAAGCAACGTAAAACCCCTTTTTAGCACTTATTTTTAATACTACAAACATTATAATCTTATAATTGCGCATTTATATCGTGCGTGTATAATAGTGTGTATATTATTAAATTTTAATTAATTTTATTTAATCAAAAACTAAGCTCAAGGCGGAAGTTTGATTCAAACCGTTAAAGAACGAAAAAATATATATATTTTTTTAAAACGTGAACTTTAAATATAGTAGTTTCCTACAGATATACAATGAAAATCCGTATCAGAACAGAAAATTTTGGCTTATCTAAACGCACTAATCATTTCCTAAAAATCTGTCAAGTTGTGTTTTTGATCTGCACGATCAACCGGCAAGAACGAACCGGATGTTAAAATATTTCATATATAAACTTATATATATTTTAAAGAAAAATTACATATAAGTGGAATTTTAATAATGATTTTTATAATTTTATATATCGACCTAAATTACCTTAAAAATACAAAAATGTTTTATATAGAAGATATTTCCAAGACAACTCATGCACGATGGCAGAACTCGAGTTCTGGATCATTGTGATAATATCGGAATGCACACTTACTCTAGTATATCCGTTATTTTCGTCACCTTTCATGCATCACATGCTAGATTTAGCACGATTAGTCACGCCAAGTAGCATTAATGGAATTCGGGTATTGAATTTGAAAGGGGTGCTTACCATAAAAAATAAATAAAAAGATTCTTGATAAACATTAAGCATTTTCGTATTAAAATCTTAATATCTATGTTTCATAAAATAATTTTTTTAAATATTTTTATAAATTTAACATATGTGTGTCTTATTTTATAACAGAAACGAACTCCTAAGAATTTTTCTTATTTTAAATTGCCTACTGCAGGACAGGTCAATCTATTGTATACTTCTAATGCCTGAAGGTATGCGGTGATGTAGGTCAGAAGAATGGACAGCACCCTAAACAAGAACTTTTGTGAGTGTTAACTTGTTGCATTTCATGGTAAACTTAGCAATTTTCTGTATACAAAATTCAATAATAAGCCTAAAATTTTAGGACAATCTTGCAATTAGATTTACTAAAACAGCATTCTTACCGGCAAATGAAATAAGTTACTTTCAATGGAGAACTAAAGTAATCAGTAGTAAATTAAAACTAATATCTAAATTCGGAAGTTAATGTTTAGCACGTGGAGTGAAGTTAAAAAAGAATTATTACCCTAACCGAGCTAAAGCTATATAAATGTTAATAACCTACCTCTAGCACGCTGGTATGTGCTAAGGAATTTAACTATTTAAAAATATACATGTATCTATTATGTAAATAGAGAAAAGTACCTCATTAGGTGAATCGATCAGACCGAAGGCAGATGGCATATCATCCGATTTACCAGGCGACAATCTACCTGTGACATCATCAGAATCGTCCACCTTTCTCTTCTGTGCATTTCCAGCATTCGGGCTACCAGCGTGGCCAAGTGGGCTTAGCTGGGCCATCATCAAAAAAACAAATAAATAAACTAAATTTAGCCCAGCTTTAAGTTCGCGTAGATCCACTCGATAGTACTCTTACAAACTGGAAAAACGTTCGTCCGTATAACTCGCCTGCACACTTCACTGGAGTCTCGGCCGCACCTGAGCTACTCCGCCACAGGTGAGCGGGACTTAGTTGATACCCCCCGTTCTTCTATCCCCCACGCTCAACTCCACAAACACTCCCCGAGTGCCTTCCCGGAAAAATACAGGGGGAGAGATGTGTCGGAGATAAACGCGCCGGTCTAGTCTACCCTGAGGCTTTTTCAAATTCTAGTCTCTTCCTTAGCATAAATTGGGACGCTCTACCTGTCTAGTTCCATTCTACCCTGCCGTAACGAGTGGGTCAGTCCCGAAAATGACCTTGACACTCGCGACACGTCCCGTAGTATCGTTTCGGTTTCGGTGCCACAAACGGTGACGAATTGAAAACATCGTTTCTGATTTGTCAAAGTTACAATTGTGATTCGTGATCTCTATTGGATGAAATTAAGCACGCCTTCTTTGTCGATAAACCAATAGACTCCTCAAATGATACATGCGTCGATACGAAAACACGCCTACACTACGTCATATGGAAGTTTTTGCAAACATGTGGCGCCCTCTGTTAACAAAATATCTTAAGAAGAAATGGATTAATTTTGAATTTAATTAAAGCGTATTTTTTATCTAAACCTTTTTCAATTTTAAGTCTAAAGTTTTTATCATTTTAATTAAGTTTTAAATTAAGATCATTTTAAAATTAGAAATCATTTTTAAAATATAAATTTTATTTTCTATTATTTTTATAACTATAAAAAATTCTAAACACTTAATACTTTCATTTATAAAAACTTTCTCGGGTAAAAAAGCATTTTAAAAAATTAAGTAATTTCTTCTATTTTTTTCCAAATTTAAAATTATTATAACCTACACAAAATAATTTATTGAAGAGTTCAAAATTAAAAATCACTTAAAATTTTTAAAACACATTTAAATGTATAGAAGTTCTTAAAATAAATTGGTCATTTAAAAACTTAGATTTGTCACCTGATGTATGGATGAATGTACTGTACACAAAACAATAATTGTCGGGGTCAGTAAGTACACATGATCGAAACAAAAGTACCAGGCCGTGAAAATGTAAATAAAAAAAGGACAGATTCCGTCATATGACATCGTGATAATTATAGTTTTGCCTACTAGCAAACAATGGTACTAAATGGTGACAACATGGGAACCATCGTGGTTAAATACGAATAAAGATTTAACATGTTATTAAATCGTCCTTTTATTGTGCCGAAAGTCTTCGATTTGCAAATTTTTTAATCAATTTTAAGTGCGTTACATTTTTGCACCTCAAATAGTTATTATGTAAACTTAAATAAAATTAACATAAACCAAGAATAGAAATTAAATTTTTACTCTTCAATCGATTCGATTTATTAAAGTACTTTTTTAAAACTTTATTTATAGTTTAACATTTAAACAATAGTCAATAATATTGAAAAGCTCAATCCATCTTCCAATACTTATCTACAGATAATGATGTGTAAAAATAGTTTTTCTCGCGTTTATGTCCGTTTGTTTTCAACAACAATAGTTAAACTCTAATTATAAAAAAGAAAGAAAAGAAAAATATTTTAAACTAAAGCTCAGATTTTTCTGTAGATATTCTTTCACTTAAAATAGCTCGAGGGTTACAAATATTATGACAAATAAACGAAGTAAACTTGAAGGTCGGGGGTCATATAAATTAAATTTAACCGTTGCTACTCTTAAGAAAATAACTTAACAATAGAAAAACCGTTTTTATTTTTACGATCTTTCGAAGAAATTGAAATAAGTTTTAAATTTTTCTAACGACTGATGTTTCTTTAATGCTCGACTTTGAAATAGGTTCGTAAAGTAGATAAGATTATGCTTTAAGCATGATCTTTTCTTATCTACCAAATTTCTACTCTGTTCTAATCCGGTGTAGGACGTCATGCTGGAGACAAAGATCATTATCTGTCCCGCAAACAAAAGGTGTAGAATACCTATCTCACCAGTATTTTGTCCCTGAACTGGCGACAGTTGCCTAGTTTGCAGACATTTGGACGGGGTGAGGACATTCTATGACTAAATAATTAATTTTCTGCTTAAAAAGTAGGCCTAATATTTGTGTTATAGATTTGTGAACGATATTTCGTGATCGACGCAGAATTATTATATGTCATATTAAACAATTAAACAGAATTAAATAATGTAAAATAATAACCATGTGATATATGCAATTTTCTGAGAAGATTTAAGCTCTATAGTACCATTAATTGTTATTAGTTTACTATTAGTTATTGACGACAATAATAGTGGCATTTCATAAGTCTATGTTTAAATTCTTCACATTTTATCAATTTTTAAAAAAAATTACAATAAATAAATTTGATTATAATAATAAAATGGGGAAAAAAATTTATTA